GCGGAGATTTCTTGCGAGCCTAGAGCAGAGAGATCATTGCATTCCATGACTGATACCAGGGACTTAGCCCTAAGCTGCTCATAATAAATTGCAAAGATCCATGGAACAGGTGTGGTGGCCTTTTGGGCAGCCTTGTCAAGAATCCTTCTGATCTCACCAGTGAGAATTGACTTTGATTCACGCTGAATGTAAAATGAGAGAAATTCAGGATTATCAGGAAATTTCTCCAATGCAAAGTGTACAATATTTCTAGTGTCTTTCAGGGGCAGCGTTCTGCCACGCGTGCAGTGAAATCTAAACAGCCTGATGTAAAAGCTTAGAATGAGTTCAATGTCCATCTCAAGGAGGTGAGCTTGATCACATGAAGCGACTGAAATAATATCATTACACACAGACAATACACCTTGAATGCCAGTGCTCAAGTATTCAAACAAAACACTACAAGCTTCAAGATGAACTGCCAGACTTCCAGAGGCAATGTCGCAGTCAAGCAACTGTCTCTTTTCTTGGGACGACTCAGTTGTGCCAGTAATTCCTTGGTGGTATTTCTGGTAGATTCTACGAGACTTCAGCAGTCGAACAGCAGACACGTCAGCAGTTGATGTATTGGACGTGGAAGGTTGAAAGTTTGCTCCCTCGGCAAATGTGGTCAAGATCTGTAATGCTTTCTTGTTTTCCTCACTTGACATAACCTGCGACTCTTCTGAGTTTCCAGTGACACCAACTTCAAGCTCAGCATATGACCTGATAACAAAAGAGGAAATGTTGTTATCATAAAAAGAAGGATACCGGTAATTTTACACTGTACTCGTTATCAATAAAATAAAGTTCTGGTTGCAGGGATTAAGAAAATGTACAGAAACTATACACACTGGCATAATGGCTACATGTAGTTTGTTTTCTTCTGGATTGAGAGGTCCAAGTTTGAGTCTCGTAGCCTGGTTGAGGCTGCAGGATATGTGGTGGCTTAACTTTTACAGTGCTGGACTCTGGAGCAAGTAGAAAATTCTTAACAATTAAAAATTAAAAATCACAGAATTTGTTTCAAAACCAGAATAAAATAGTTGGTCGAACCTGACAAGAGGTGCTAAAGCTGTCCTTCTGCTCTGTTCATCAGAAAACATTTCACCGCCCATCGTGAGAGTGGAGTCAAACATTCTGCGAGCTTCATCAGTGTTACCAGATAACCACTCTATCTCTGCAAAAGCTTTCCACAGTGTCAGGTCATTCCTGAATTTCAAAAATTAGCATCATAAATCTACTTATTAATATACTGTTGTAAGAAAACATTTACTGTCAGTAGCAGAGGCACCTCAACAAATTCAAATGCTCGTGGAGGGTGTCTGCAAATGGAATGGGTTCAGTTCAGTAAGGAAGGTGTCAGATTAAAGTTGCTGTCCATTTAATGGAAGTGTCCTTGTATGACTGGTCTCCACTTTTAAGAGATGTCCACTTTGAGAGGTATAAACTTATTGGAGGAGTCCATATTTTGAATTTATTCACACCTCTGAATGAGAAACGCCCTTTTAGATGGCGGCTGCTTTATATGAGTGGTAATGACGTATGAAAGGTGTCAATATATTGAAGATATCCACTCTGTATGGAGAGTGTATACTTAGAGTAGGTTTGTGCTCTAGTTATGGTATTGACTGCTCTCTTTTGGAAGGTGTCATCTTATTGGAGCTGCCTGGTAATGAGAGTTGTTCAGTTATGGACTTTGTGTCCACTTTGGAAGATGTGCATGCTTAGTGGAAGTTTCCACAATACAGAATATCCACTCATAGGACAGTGTAGTATATTCAGGTGTGATGTAATGTTAGTAATATAACTTGATTAACAGTCAAGTGAATGTATGAAAGATCATTTGAACTGCAGAGAAAGATATAAGACGTTATTGATCATCGCAGTTATACTCACAACTTAAGTAGCTGTGAGTAGAACTGCAATGATCAATAATGTCTCTATAACTTGATTAATATTGTAGTAGTGTCCTACATCTGCGATGATGAAGATCAACATGACTGTACATTCTTTTAACTAGCTAAACTTTAATCATTTTACAAACCTGTTTTCTGGTTGCTTAAGGAGGCTTTTGGCTAATTTCCTTACATCTTTATACTTCTTTTTACTTTCCTTTCTGGATGGTACCTTCTGAGTAAGGCCAAACTCAAACCAGAGCCACAACACCATCAGGAAACTTCTTGTTGCTCCTTCAAATACTGGAAAGATTTGCACAAAGATATTTCTTGCAAGGTTCAAAGCTTCTGATGAGGGCCACTGCTTGTCAGTTGTGTTGGTAGAGTCGCCGTCATCCCAATGGTATGACTGCCAGAAACCAAGAAATTGAGACATGGTAAAGTTGCCAGGCTCTAACAGCTGTGACTCATGCTCTAAGGAGATGTTCAGGAATCTTTGCACATCGGCATTTGTTGATGAGCTCACACAAGGTACTGACACTCCCAGCAACTTCAAGAAAGACAATACAAGCTTAAGCTTGTTCCTTGGATCAGTGATTTTGAACAAGCTTGAGCTAATGTCCTCAAACAAAACAAGTCTTTCAGCATCATCGCAATCATCCTCTGTTTGATCTTTTTTGGCATCTGGTTGCCATGGCAATAAATGTCTTCTCTGTCTGGATAATTCAACTTGTACCCAGTTCTTCCACAGAGGCTTATTTTTATCAACTTCAATCTCATCATCATGATCATCAAGAGAATCACTCTCATCTGTGGCACTGGTGGAATTTGCCTTGAAAATCTTCTTGACGTCAGTTGTCACCTCAGTCATGTTTTCTGCAGCCATCCAGGACTTCCAACCTCTTGCACCATCTTCACCAAACCTTAATTGTCATACAATGGAATAACAGCCCAAATTAGACAACCATAAGCTGTCATTAACTTGCCAAAGAGAAATATTCATTGACTAGAGATTCAGCTTGCTGACACAGATTTCCCTTTGTTAGTGATGTGGTTTTCGTTTTGGCCTGGATAGGCTGTAGAACACTATCACATGACCTCCAGAAATATCACAAATTAAAACAGCTCGTGCAAGAATTCTAATTTTGAGGTCATTGAGTTTTACGTGCATGATGTCATGGTGATTTGAATTTTTTTTCTATTAAAACCATCAACTTGCCAAAAAAAATTTAAAGCTAGATATTGGTGATGTATTGCACAGTCATGTACCTTGGTTGTCCACTGTCCCAAAAAGTTTCCAGGAAAGCTATCTGTCCAGTCACAGGAGTGTTCTTCTCCAGATCATGTGAGCAGAAACAGTTTAATTCAATCATGGCCTGGATGCAAGCAACAGCTTTTTCTGTGTGACCTGAAGAGCACAGACATAATCTCAGTATGAATTGCTACAAACTTAGGGTTCATCTCATCTCTTTACTTGAATTGTCCTACTAGAATGTGTGGTGTAATGGCAGTTAATCCATTTTAGAAAAATAGTGCAGCTACATAGCAGTTAACCATTAATTAGCTAGATCAGGTGGCTGACTTTTGTTAGGTTTTAACCTCAGACCTGCTTCTTATCCAGAACACTTGACATGTAGTAAGGTTTATAAATTGATGGTCCAAGGCAACGTAACAGGTAGATTGAATTGACAAGCCTGTAAGTTAAAATAAAAATCAATTACCTGACTGCCTTGTAAATTGGCATTCCCTGATGAACAAATCTAACATTTCCTCCTCCAGGTCGCCTTCAGCCCGGTGAGATGCAAATGTCCCTTCCTTGATTGATGACAGAGTGCTCAAACACTTGCCAAATACTGCTGTTGTCTTACTAAATGAAAACACTGAAAATCTGGACTGCATGAACAACAAGTAATGTCTCCACAGCAGAGTATTGTTAGGATGGACAAAGCTGACTCTTTTCCATTTCTGAACCAGTTCTTCAGCGTCCATGATCTCATTACAAAGATCTAAGTGGCCCACTATCAATTCAACTGAGTTTGGATTTTTTTGCAAAGCTTTTTCAAAAACAGCAATCTTCTTTTCGATTATGGTCCTTGTGGCAGCTTTCCTTCTCTCCCGACCAGTTGCTGTAAAGCTCGATTTCACAGAGTCCTCTTTTCTGACAATCTCTTCTTGAAAGTCAACAAGAGCCAGCCAAGTTTGAATGTCCTGTGGGTTGTCATGCAAGATCTTGTTTAACTCACGAGTCTTTTGCAAGGTTTCAGATTCATGAGAATCTCTATCGGCAGTTGATTCCTCCACTTTTCTTCTGAGAGAATCATCCTTTACCATCTCATCCTGACAGGATAACTCCAGGGGAACATAACCTCTAACATCAGCTAAATTACTTCTCTGATCTGGTTTCTTTGTGATACTGGACAGTGTTATAGAAATGTTCTCAGTGCTTCCTGGAACTTGGAAATCATTAACATTCCAATACCTTTCAACAGGTCTTGCCTTTTTCTTTTTCTTTCCCTTCTGTTCTGTCAACTCAATAACTTGATGTTTGCTGAGCCCAAGGCAAGTCACATTTGACCTCATCTTATACAACGCAATGTCCAGTCTGTACAGTGTGTTGTACATTCGATTTGCTATGTCAGGTTTTCTGTGAAGTCTAAAAGCTTTCTCAGGGGCAAGATTTGCCTCTTCAATCCAAATTGTATCTGGTTTGCAAACATCTTCAGTGATACACTCTTTGTGCTCTGATTTATCATACTTATGCCTATGTTTCTTTTTTTGTTTATGCTTCTTTTTGTCCTTGTGGTGTTTCCTGACCTTTTCAGTAGAGCTTGGACATTCCTTTTTGATTTCTTTGTCATGGAGTTGTCTTTCTTCATCTGAACTAGAAATGTCAACAAGAGTGCGTTTACTTCTTTGGTGTACAAATTGTGGATGCACTTCGGTAGCTTTTTCCAATGAGTACTGCTTACACTCTGTGTCAACAATTTCATGTTGGTCACTTTCAAAAGCTAAACTAACATCTTTGTAGCTTTCATTTCTAAGCCAGTTTGGCTGGCCGACTCCTGCAAAACAAGACAGGCAGCACTGTCAAATCCTTAGTTCTACTCGTTCTTGCAGATGTAAATTATGCACAAGACCTTATCGCCTTTGGTCAGAGAAAGCTCAAGTATAAAGCTCAACATACTGCGGCAAACTACTGACAACCATGAAAACGTTTTAGCTAACGTAAGTTCCTTTTAAAAGAGATAAGGCATATTAAAGCAGAAAGCCCCATTTAATTAAGACAGATACTCTTCCTGTTAGTCTGGCTGGGCTAGGGTCGTCGTTTTTGAAGACCTTGAATGCCAAATCGCGATAACTTTGACGCCATACATGTTCCAGTTTAAAAGCTTACCACTATCAACATCTACAGGCTGTGTTTCCACGTTAGAAGAAGCGCATGGAAAAATAAGGCCACAGGATGTCCCAACTGATTTACTTTGGGACCCCAGTATTGGAAATAATGTCTGATTTGGAAGGTATTTGGTCTTTGAAACACTGTCGGCTTTATCTGTCTTTTCCGCCATCTTGAAAGACCAAAAAATTGCGGGCGCAAGACAAACTTTTCCCCGCCCTCCCTTCCCTTTACGCGCAGAGCATCGTCGCGGGAACGCAAAAAAAAGCGGGAAACACTCGCCACTGGCAACTTGCTTGCGCTGGTTTGGCGCAGTTTACTCTCTTTTTCTTCGTCATAAATATGCGAACAAACCGCTTCTTCTTTAATAAGAAAGGGCAAAAAGAAATCAACACGGAAGCGGAAACTGCAGTTCAGGAAACACAGGAAATGGGAAGTGACGTTTCCACTGCAAACTACCAGAAAAACAGCTCTGAAAATGACGCCAGTTCAGAAATGGAGAAATCCAAGCGACCACGAACTGAGAATATAAAAAGTGCAAAACCAGAAGCTGTAGCAATCAAGAGGAGAAGAAGTTATAGTGAATGCGATAATTTGTCAATTGAGAGAAAATTTGTGTGCAAGAAACTAAGAGTTAATCAGCTATACACGGATTACTGTGGACGAAATTCTTTTATGGCAGCTTTTTTTAGGCTTCTTGGTGAGTGTTTACAGTCATGCAGCTTTATAGTCAGCCTCAAGTTCACTCACTGAATTCAAACTCTTTCCGACTTATTGTCTTTAAAGACTCTTTACACACACACACACACACACAAAAAACAAGAGCCCACTTAATCAATTTTTTTCCGTCAATAATGCAGATGATGATGTCATTCAAGATTTCTTGTGGATGGACAGCTGCGCAGTTATATCAGACAAAGTGAGTGGTGCAACGATGGTTTTTCTTTGCCAAGAGCACTTTAAATCTAAGAATGAATTTATCCTTTCTTTTCAGTATCTTCTGGCAATGGTTTACACCTACTTTAGGAGAGCCGAACTGGCGAAACGGGAATTTAACCGAATGAATTTCTTCATAGCACTGTAAGTATCAGTAAAAGCTTTTTCTTTGGCGGGAAGGGACGGGGGGGCATGATAAAGGAGCTCAGCACCGTAGAAGTGACTCCAGTTTGCATAAAAGTTTGAGAATGGTGTCAAATCTCGTGGGTCTTTGAGGGATCTTTAAAATTTCTTGAATTCTTCCGAAGTCTGTAGACAAATTCAGACCAGAGAGCACAAAGTCATCTCCTCATTTCTTCTTCCATATCACACTGACCGGTGACTCTTTCATCTCCAGGTACTTGGCAAATGATATGGAAGAGGACGAAGAAGAAGAAAAGTACGACATATTTCCTTGGGCTTTAGGAAAGAACTGGCGTGACCTGTATCCGAGTTTCCTTCAAAACAGGGACATATTCTGGAGAAAGATCGGCTACCGCGCTCTTGTCAGCAAACTAACCTGTGATGAGGTACTGAATATGAATAAAGGGAAAATTTCACTTTTTCTCCCTTGTTCCCTAATTTTTTTTTATGAAAGTTCCCCTTAATAGAAGACATATACCTTGTTCCCTCAAATTCATCCTAAAAATATCCCTTGTTCCCTTGAAATAAATCATCGTGTTCCCTTTTCCCCCAAAATCCTGAAAGTCCCTCATTAATCAGGAGAAAACAACCGCAAACTAATAGCAGTTGTTAATTTGATTTTTTTCCCCTTATTCTGAAAATCAAGATGAAGGAAATATTTTTTTACTTAGAAAATAGACGATTTAGCATCATGGGAGTCTTAACATTCGGGCAGTTTTATTCCTCAGCAGGTTTACTCAAGTTGCAGTGAAATCAAGTTTCTAATAATGTAACTAAGCCACCTGACAGTGTTCATGTTTCTTGTGAACAAGTGAACAATACTCTGAAAATTCCAGTTAACAAATCCTCAGGAGTTATATTTGAGATCACCGAAATCTCAAAATAAATTTTTAGGTTAATTAGTTACAACATCGATCTTGCAAAAATTAGATCAATTAGATCGGTAAGCTGCTGTTTTGGAGTAAGACAAAGCTGAAAACGTTCTACTGTATAATCTGACATTGTATGAACTTGAACAAACATCACAGATGGGTGTTTTATTGTCCATCCTTTTAACAAAAGAGTAAGAAGCGGTCCTGTGAGCTTCAGGGGCGTCTTCCTTAGATCCGTATACGTTAACGATCCAAATGACCTGAGGCAGGACGCGTTCGACTCCGTTTGCGTAGATTTTTCTAGTAATAAACTCATTCTAAATATCTTCATCGGTTCCTTTCAGATCATGGCTATTGTATCAGACCATCCAGTCTGGCGACGAACGAGAAGAAATCATCACGGTGGAGCGTGGAGGGACTACCTGAGGGACACAAGTAACGACTGCACAAGCCCAAGAGGTCCAGGAACTGCCCCTTTTCAGTGTTCCAAATGCGAAGGAAATTCACCAATGCTGACCTCTGACTATTACAGCTGTTCCTCGCAATCTTCATCTGAAGACGAGAACACAACCTCAAGCTTTAATATGAAAGGTATTGTTGCACGTTCAACCGTATCAAACCGTAGTCTGTGACTGTAACCTTTCGAACATTCGCGCCTGATATCACAACTTCTTTCTTTTAGGCATCACACGTTCATAACTCATTTCCTGTCTTCCACCAATTTTAGAATAAGTCTTCTAACGTTTAGTTTTGTTTTCAGATTTGAAAACTGTGCTCCAGAAAAGCAATAACAAGAGGCACTGTCAGGAGAACAAAAATCACACTGGTGGAACTGCCAGACAAACAGCGCAGTAGTCCCACAAGAAGACTCAACTGTTTTTCTTTTATCTAGTCTCTCAGTTCTAATATATAAGACAGCAGAAAGACGTGCTCTCAGATTTTTCGGAAAAGATTTATACACTCTGTAAATACTAATATATTTGACGGTAATACGAAGGAGTTTTTCTCAACGCTAGACACAGGCATTGTGTCAATTTATTTCTTACAGTGCTCAAATGGTGGCCTGTTTGAAACCTGGTTACGGTGGTTATAGCCATTTTTATTTTCTGCCGCATTGTAAGAAATAACGCTTCAAGTAAGTTATATTTGGGAGCCAGCCTTCAGTTATAAATGTATAATGTATT